AGATCCTTCATGATGAAGACAGAGCTTGGTGGTGAAGTCCCCAGCGCATGCTGCCTTGGTGGTGGAGTCCCCAGCGCATGATGTCCAACAGCGTGTCAGAGAGTGAAAAAGAGATTCTGACCGGCTGCGTCTCTTTTTATACACAGTGGTTTGACGTATGTGTTTGCATTCGGGTTCGTGGGCTCCATCTTGTTTCCTCATTGGGGTACGGTACGAGGCGGTATGGGGTACCGGGTATGGTACAAGGACTTTTTGGCCAGGTGGAGCAGCTGCTCAAAGGGTTTCGATTCATGCTTGAAGTATGTGAGTAGGAAAGGCTCAGAGCTATGCCAGGGATCGAACTCTTGGCAAACACATGTTATCGAAAACGAGTGTGTTCATGGCAATTGTACCTCATCGAAGGGGATCACGATCAATCAAGCCCTACAAACAAATTGGGGGTTGCCGAGACGACGCTCCGCGCGCAGGCAAGTTTAGAGTGCACCCCTGCAGGTCTGACCCACGCCCCATCCAACCCCATCCAGCTCAAGGTACGAGGCGGTCCTGACCTGTAGGGCGGTCCGTGATGGGATGATGACTCACTCCCAAGTCGGTCACAGGTCAACGACTCGACAAAACTGGTACACCATGACTTGGCCTTGAGAGCTTTAGAGCTGTAGCGATGCATTTGCTTGGATGCAATTGCTCGGATGGTCAACCAAAAGAACTAAAGACACAACAACACCCAAACGAAAGGAACATTGGAAATCCAAAGCTTGATCATTTGGAACATGGCGTGGAATTCCCCGATGATCTCTGTGATCTCGTCGAAAGTTACGAGCTGAGGACTTTTGCGGCCGATTGTGCAGCCATCTTCGATGTCTTACAATGCTTTGTGCCTGGGCCTTGTAGGCCTCGGTGCCGCAGCTGAACACGTGTTCAGCTCCCGATTGTGGCCCGTCAGTGCAGAGCAGTGCAGAGCAGTTACAGTGTGCATCATTGTGCCTTCGGGAAGCGGACGTGAGTGTGAGAAAACCACATACAGATAGATAGATGCAGGCTTGGTGGAAGGAAGGGTTCTTTCACCAGCTGTGAAGTCCACATCCCCCATCCCAGATCTTGTTCGCGCGCATGTCTTTCATCCTTCAACTAAAAGTTCAAGTCACTCACCGACCAGCACAACCGTCCGTGTTCCGCACGTTTGGTTTTTGGCGCAGACTGGCGGAGGACCGGGCGCCCAACCCAGGAATTGGCTCTCGGTGAGCCTCCGGCCCACACAGCCAGCTCAAGGGCTCGTCCTGGACGCTCCGGCTGCCTTTGATTTCCAGGGTCCCTCGACTGGTGCATGTGGGTGAGATGCCAGAAATGGGTGTGCGTTTGAATAGGGGGACTCCATGGGAGCCCCAACCAATGTTTCTGTGTTTTTTTGGTTTATGTTCTCTCTTCCGGAAAGCCAAAGGTCTCCATACAGGTCAGAAACAAAAGTTTGATTCGGTCTAATCTCCTCTCAGAAACCTTAGTGCGAAGCTCAAGTGGTGGCTCACGCAAGAGAGCTTGGTCAACACACTTTATATCACTTAATTAAGCCTACACAGGTCAGTGGACAACCTTTGACCTCTTCTGGGGACTGGTGTCCCCACTAGACAAACAGGTGGAAAAGGGTTGCAATGTATTTTCCAGGAAACCGAGAGAGTCAGACAACAGAAAACGAAGCATAGCCAGACTGATCCCTGAAACCACACTGCGGCACTTGATTAAGGATGATCAACTGGTTTAATGGCAAGCCCTATGCACATGCTTTTAATGGCCTCTTATAGTCGTGTGGCTTGCCACAAGCACCTCCCCCAAGGCATTGCCTTTCGGAAGATCACGCCTCTACGTCACATGCCGGTTTACAACGGCCAGCAGAAGATTATCATAATCGAACGGTTGTTGTTTTCTGGTTCCGAACTCCTTTCTCCCCCCCAAAAAAGTAGTTTGCAGCAAGCTGACCCGAAGGGATCTAGGCGAATCCGCACGTTCACTGGAGTGTATGCTAGTCTTGCCATGGTATGTGAGCGACACTGGTTTTTCTTTTCGTTGGTGTCAGGTGTGTTCTTATAGACTCCCTGGCCAGCAAGCAAACTTCCAAACTTCCTTCTCACTCACCTCCCGAATCCCAGGATTTGATAGGATTTGGAGAGGCATGACACCGCATGCTATTCAAGTGGTGCCGGGCAGGTTCAGAACCTATAGGATCTCCTGAAGATCTGCTCTTTCAATCACCTCGTTTCTTTTGTCTCGCTGCCTGAGGATGTGAACTGCGAGATTGGTGGCTTCCACGTGCCTTCGGCGCATTTTTGGCAGGAGAGGATGTTCCTCCAAGCCAGCTCGGTGCAAGAAGACCTTGCATAGCTGTTGATGAACCAGCCAACTCCTCTGGGTCCTGGTCTAGGTCACGAAAAGTTGCACAAGGCAACCAGCTTTTAGCTTTTTATGACCTCCCCTGGGTCCTGGGTCCTAGGTTTCTTGAGGTCAAGCGTCAAGCGTTCGGCTGTTTTTGACACTCCCCGGAATTATGATGGTTACGTGGGTGGCATGATCCCGCGAGGATGGCCATGTTCCGAATACCAAACAGGTGGTGAACTCCACTTTCATGGATGAGTTCAGGGAGTGTAGGTCAGCTGCTTTGTTCATACCGAGTGGCTCAACAAGTTCGGGACAAGGCACAGTTGCTTGATTGATTCTGTCGCTGAACCTTTTTTGTCCCCAAAAACGATGGAACGCCACAAACCAAAAGCTATGAGCATGAAGGCGAAAACGTACAAGATGCGTGTCCGGAGTTCATTCACTCTCCAGTTTTTTCTGGAAATGCTTGCGTGAAATCGGACGCTGACTTCGACCGATTTTCATGGTCCCATGACGCTGACGTCGCAATCTTCAGTCAGGTTACGAGGCTCAGTCCGCGGAGACCTGGGCCCTACGACTTCCCGTGGCGCAGAGCGCGGCTGTGCGCTGCGTGGCGGACCGGTGGCCATGTCCCGGTGACACGGTGGCTGGGCAGAGGGAGGAGGTTCAGGGAGGGCGGTGGCTGGTGGTGCAGGTGTGATGGAAGGATGATACAATGATACCCACTGACATGGAAGTGGACCGCATGGCCACGCATGGCCTCTTGGAAGGCCATCTTGCTCTAAGAGCTAGAGGGTGAACTCCACTTCCATGTTAGTTCCGGGGAGTGTAAGAAGCAAAGAAGACAAAGCAGACGGGGTAGCTTTGCAATGAAGGTGCAATCCATCTCAGTAGGCCCACATTTGCCAATGACTCTGGAATATGCACCCTCGGTAAACAACCATGTCCTTCTGTTCACTTGTAGACCTGTAACACTGTAGCCGCTTTGGTTTCCAAGGGGCTTTCTGCCAAAGGACCTTAAATACACCCTCGCCCTAGCTGGGGACTGACAGAACATCAGGGAAAGGTCCAGCTTCCCCAAGTACATCACGACAACTTGGAGAAGAAGAACCCATTGTTTCCCAGTGACTCAGGTGTTTCTGTAACTAGGAATCTCATACCAGGTTTGGGTACCCATGAGAGCCACAAGAAAGGCGGTCGCACCGGCGCGAAGAGAGCCGGACTCGATGCAGCAAGGATCTGAGTTGGGCATTTATGATGCTCTCTATACTATTGGGTTTGTCCCATGACTGTACCTGTAAGTGTCAGTATATCACTATTTTTGGAACAAGGCCTCTAGTAACTCTAGTAACCATCATCTGGTGCAGGTAATGGGATAGACCCAACTCATAGACCTCACTCTGGCCTCCAGGTCATGAAGATCGGAACCCGCTCAGGTCGACGGCAGGTGTACTCGGTCGACTTCATCCACCTTGAACCGGGCGCATGATCCTTGGATGGACATGGCATGACAACGGTTTGGTAGAAATACGTATATACCAGGACCTTCCAAGTCTGGTGGTTTTTGGACACCCCCTTTATCTCTAAGAGGCTATTTATAGGCACCTCTTGGATGGTCCTGGTATCTAGAACCTGCATGAATGATCTCTATGCCTGACCACCAACCACCCAAAGCGTGTGTTTAATCCCATTACAACAGGGGTCAAATGGGTTCTTGGTAGAGAGAGTTGCCGGTGCAGGTGCCAGGTTCATTCGGATCGTAAGTGACAGAACATGTATTGGAACTGGTGCTGTTGTACTAACTCCGAGCATTATACAATATTATACATCATTATACATGTATATAATTAATTATAGTAATCCCGGAGTAGATAGAATATGGAAAGCTTAAAAACCAATGGGCGACTGGTCCAATATTCTGTATCTACTCCAGGATGGTAGTATATATATTTTTTGCTGTGGATTCACACGGCTCTTGGATGCTCCTGACTCCTGTTGGGGGCTCATTCACCTGCTCTTGGATGAGGTTGCTTGGAGAAGAGGTTTTGGGCCAAGGTTCCGTCAAATTAGGTCCCCCACAATTTGGGTGCTCAAGATGCATAATATTGAGGAAAAAAAACGATGACGGTGGATGTTTCCTCCCAGTTTCTGAGCCAGACATCGTGGCCGAGTGCTTTCAATGGGTGCTACATCAGTCCTTCCCTCCCCCGGCTGCACAGACGATGCTGTCCCTTCATTCCAAGTGGGCCTTTAAGTTTGTAGGGCCTAGCAGTCAGTGCCAGGGTTTTGATCTTTGTTTGTGTGTTGTGTACGTTTTCATTAGAAGTGATGCAACAAGGTCAGCTAAATCTTGTGGAATCTTGGAATGTGGATAGGCTCTTCAAAATAAACCGTTGCCCCAAGCTCCTGGAGGTTCCGAAAGGCTGCACAATGATGTGCACATCCCTTACCAACTAACTGGCCTTGACGGCTCCTTTTGCTTCAAAAACATTCAAAAACTACGTATTTGATTGGTTTGAGGCATACGGCCCCGCTAGGCATCATCATCTCCAGATATTAAACCACACACTGAATCCAAGAACAAGCAACGTGTTCTGTCTCCTTTCCTGTTGACGGGCTAGAAACTGGGATGAAACTTTTGTGTGGGCACATGATGGCACATGCATGCACGCACAGGGGTAAAACCCTCCTCACATGTCCTCACTCTCTTTAAACCAGGAAAAAATTCCAAAGGTTCCATATTTTGTCTTTTGGACATGTTTGGACCAAAACCTGCTGGCAACAACTCGGTATGTGTTTCTACATGAAACTGCATGAAGCTGTCCGAACTGAGGTTCAGCTGCAGGAGAAGCTGGTCCCTGGACTCCTCTATGGTTTCGACATTTCGGTGCAGAATCCAGCCACGGCCGCCACGGCCTCCGAGACACGGCTAAGAGATGTAAGGACTGTAAGGAGGAACCTTAGGCAGTTCCAAGTGCCCCAGTCACCTGGAAGGTGGTCCTCCTGTAAGGTGGTGAAGGAGGAACTGTTCCAAGTGCCCCTGCGACAGTTCAGTTCCAAGTGCCCCAGCTGTGGGTCTTTACTTGGTGCAAGGTGACACTTCAAGATGTTCTGGCTAGAACAACGCCAGGCCACCGAGAACAGCTCTACAGGAATGCTCTCCCCCGTATTTTCACTCCGCTGTCCAGCTGCTCAAGACTTGGCTGGTGCGGGGCCACAGGGCTTAAGCCATCTTGAGCCTTTAACCAACTCCAACCAGGCAATCACACGCACGAGACCAAAACAAGCAAGCTTGATGATGACCAGACGTAAGCTATCAGCACTTCTACCACCATGATCCTTCACCCCATCAGCACCATCAATGCTCATCTGAAGAGGAAACAGATCTTCATGGGTCTTTCAGATGTCTGCTGTCCATTGGCGAAGGCCCTTCAATATCTTCAATCCTGGGGTCCACGATTATTGGGGGGAAAATCCCATGGATGTGAACCACTGCACTACCTGGGAATTGAATGGAGTTGAGGCAAGTTGCAAGAGCGAGTTCTAATAGGGGCATTTACTTCAATTGGGTATAGCAGCTCGTGCCATGAAGGGCTTTCTGTGCATGGCGCTTCTTCTGTTTCATGTGCAGCCGGCATCGGCCCAGCAGCTGCGGTTACTGGCGATCAACGCGGCAAATTCGGAAGTGGATTGGCCATTGGTGGAGTCCTTTGCCAAGAAGAAGCTTTGGAGTGCTTATCACGTGACTCCTATGTCCTTTTTTCCAACTTTTGGGGGTCTCATGAACAAAACAACTTACAGAGAAAGGGCGGGGCTTGTGCTTCCCTTCTCCCCAAGACTATTCGCAAAGCTATGGAGCCGTATGGGGAGCTTGCCGAAAGTGTCACGAAAGCCTTATGACTCGTGGCTGCTTTGCATTCTGGGGGGTACGAGAGGCGGCCACCTCAATTCAATGCTAAATCAATACGTTTCAGCTCTCTGATTCAGGAATGCCTCAATACTTACACTTCGGAGGTTCCAGCTGATGCGTTCATCAAAAAATGGCCAGAGGAGGGCATCCAACCACCCACCACTAGCCACCAACTCAACAAGATTTGGTCCGAAGTTCCTATAGTTTAACCTGATAATGTTGAGGTCCTATGTAACCCAGGTCCATCAGTGCCGCCTTTTCCTCTAAGGAGTTGGTCGGTGCAGGAGTTGAAGCTGGACCGCTTTGGCCCGTTGATGAGAAACTTCAGCTTCTAAGCCAAATATGGTGAGAGCTTGATATATACCCCAAGCACCTGCGGAGACGGATCAAAACATGAAAGCAAGTTGAAATGCTGAAGTTGCACCCCTGCAAAGGCTCCGAATGGACTCGACAAACGCTGGTTTGCAGAGGGAATAAATCAATGTTTGAGACCATGAATCTCATGGAGTGAGGCTTTCAAGCTGCCTTGGATGATTCGGACGCTTGTCGCACTTGGCATTGTTTTCCCTTGGCATTGTTATATTTTCTTTGGGGCTGATAGACATCAGAGATTATCGAAAGGAATCCACCGATATTTTGGTTTGTCACATGTGGTGTCTTGGCACGCGTTGTTCCAATTGCCCATTTTGCAAAGGATTTGAGTCTGGAAAGTGGTATAGCTGCTTGATTAACTCACATCCTCTCGTGATATCTCCTGACCGGAAGGAGATGAACGCTGGAAGAAGACCATGTTGCACTACACAAAAACCACTGGGGGTTGCGGATGTTACTGTTTGAAAGGAGAGCTCCCTTCTTCCAGAATTGGATCACATCCGGTACCGATAGGAAGAGTTGCTGCAGAAGGCCTTGACAGAGAAGTTCGATGCTTTGATCGCTTCCTCCAAGGGCGTTAACGTGCCTCGTTTACTTTGAATTGATCCCTGAACCCGCCCAAGGGGACTCCTCTCAAAACTTATATAGTGGTTCCACATCCCAAAGAGAATGACTACCCCAACCACTTGCAAAATTCAAAGGTGGGTCAGTTGAACGCAGAAGGTGTGGCCTTTGTATTGAAGATGTTTCTGCTCTTTGGCAATGATCTCTCTCTCTCTCTCTCTCTCTCTTTCTCTCTCGTTCCATAAATATGCACTGTTATTATGTTGATATATGTTTATTGTGGTGTATTTCAATATATTTCAATTAGTTATATTTCAATTTGTATGGTTTTAACAGTTTTTAATCTACAATCTATTCATGCAAATAACGTAAATCGAGAGGGAGAGAGAGCTTGGTTAGTTTAAGCTCATGCTTGATCTCCTTGAGAAAACCCATCTGGGCACATCCGAGCGGCCGAACGAGTCGTCAAGTTGAAGGTGGTGACCTCCTTGATCCAACGCCACCTTTGGGACGGCCCACTGGTGCTGCTGTCGCCCATCCCCAACGCCTGCGATCACATTCGCGGCGGCGGCTGGGAGGAGGAGTGGCGCTCCACCATGGAGGTGGGGACGGAAGGGAGAGCGTGGGGTGTAAGAAGAGTTGCAATAGGGTTGTTAGGTGTATGTGTGTGTGTGTTGGTGCCAGATGGTGCTAGCATGTCAAGACTTGTTAATTACATACATTTGTACATTCACATGATTTTCCTACAACAGTTTACTCTTCATGTCGTTTTGAGGTCGTTTTTGGTCGCGTTCCACGGACCACTGGAGGTCTTGATGAATGTGGGGCCCGTTGCGATTGGTACAGGGACTAGCCAAGATGAAGCTCTCTTTGTCGTTGATGGCATCGCAGAGACTGAACTCTGTGGGAAGTTGATCAAGGGCGGAAGCACTCACAGATTCGAAACTCGGCTCATAACCACAATCAATCATCAATCCTTCATACTTTCTATGGTGTTTCGTGTCAGATGATTGAGACGTCAGACACGAGCCCAAGAATTTCTGGCCGTTTCTCTCGTTTCTGAGACAAAGCCCACCACACCCACCGAAGCTTGAAAGGAGAAGTGCCCTGGTTGGATCCTGCGCTCCTTCCAGGGCGACCACGGATGGAAGAGTGATTGGACGAATGCGCCCCACATCGCGCGCCTCATCGACAGCCTGTTTCACGTGGCGCTGGCGCCAGCGAACGCGCAGGCTCCAAGCTCGGAGCTCTAGGCCTGTGGTGACCACTTTCTTGGGGCTAAGAGAGTCACCCCCACATTTGGGTCAGCATCCCGACTGGACCAATGAACAGATTGCTGAAGAAGATGTGACGTTTTGGAGTTTGTTGCGGAACTTGACCCGACATGGACTGGCTGGAAATTCACTTGGGGAACTCACAATGGCCCCCGAGCAAGTAGAAAGGACTGCAAAGCAGTCACAGAGGATTTGCATGCGGATATAATATACTAGCTGACATACTGTGGAAATTGGATCTTGAGTCTTGAGATCAATGGATTTATTTGCTTTTGCAGGTGACTTCTTGGAAGCAAATGACCGGAAGCTGCTGGTGCAGAGAAGCAATTTGCATGTTCATACCCTGTTTGGTGAGGGTCTTTGACTTGGAGGCTGGTGCCATTTTTGGCTGTACAGCTTGGCCTTATTTCTGCATTGCACACTCCGCGGGTCAAAGACCGCGACCGTTTTTGGTGCCTCCTTATGGAAGGCCGGCGAAGGCCATTTTTTGGCCAAGCATGACAATAATGGGAAGGTGAAGTTGGCTTGGAGCCATTCTGCCGTTGGCATTGCAAGGATGTGGTGGAATCATGCTGGTTAAAACACACATCAAATGAAGATGTCCAGTAGCACATGGTTCCTTATGTCCGTTCTTGATCGTGCTTTATGGAGGTTACTGTATGAACTCGCATTGTTTTGTTAAAACCAGAATGCCAACGGTCCAAAGACAATCACCACTTGCAGGAGCCATCAGCCTGAAAATGTCAGCCGCCCCCTGCAGAGAGGTAGACGAAGGACAGGGAGGATAGTGATAGTGCTTTCCCATTTAGGATTCAAGACTAATTATCCAACTTGTTGACCCTCACTGAGCCTTGATATAGTCCAACCTAAGACTAAAGAGTGTTAGGGTGCTCATGGGCATTCATGAGTAGATACAGAGAGAGAGAGAGAACAGAGAGGTGAAACCGCTCTTTTTTGGACATGATCTTTGACGAGTCGGAGTTACCCATATGAAAAACGTAGCATCCACTGCTGCATGGAGAGGATCATTTCCATGCACCAGAGTAGGGATATGCCGATGCTGCGGTATGCCTCATCCGTAAAAACCGTCCACGATTGATTTTCGGAGGAAACGGTTTCGGGAGTCATCCGAGGAGAATTCCTTTTACATTTTCACTTGGGACGATGGCTTCGTCGATGGCTCCCTCGCGGCTGCCTTCAATCCAGACCGTCCAGACTCCCCTGGTTGGGCGTTGTATGATGAAAGCTTGCAGGCGGGGGGACATTGAAAGACAGGGTGGGTGAGCTCAGCGCCTTTGTTCCGTGTGGCAAAACCTATTTTGATGTTATTTGATTTTACTATTATATGTTGGGGCTGTGTCAAACAAGGGTTTGCGAATGCTCCTGTGATCCTCAGGCCACCCCCCCTTCTTCTACCTTGCGTCAGGTTCTTCATGTTTTAGACCATGTTTGGACCAACAAAGACTTCCCGCACGATATAGCTCACATCGCTCCACACTAGGTTCGGCTCCGGATCCCGTTCGGGTGTTCTCTCGACCCTCCAAACGTCACACCGCGCTCGAGCTGGGATCGCGCGAGCGAAGGTGAATCTCTCCTTGCCCGACGCACGGCCTTTCAGCCTTTCTGGAATGTCCATCCTGTACTTGGCCGCCTGACAGAGAGAGAGAGAGGGGGCCAGTGATTTTGGGGATGTGCTTAGTGATTTTGGGGATGTGCTTTCATTAATTCGGACTTGGGAGGTTCAAACCTGCTAGCAGCCCGGTAGAGCCAAGACTGTCATCCTGCAACGCAAAGAGCAGATCAATGTTTGTGAACCGGTGGCATATCATTCTCCTACTGATTCCTATTGAACCTCACACCTGAGCAGACGATTGGAGGCTGTTTGAGACTGGCGATTGAGATCTTCTCAGTTCGACTACCTCCTGATAGACCTTGTCACAAATTCCACTTGCACCAACATATTCAGCACCTCTCATGTTAGCAGGCCCACCCGGCCGGACCCATGTTCTGAAAATTGCATGGGTCTTGATGATCAACATCCATCCTCAGGCACCAACCGCCTGCTCAGAAAAAGGTCAGAAGCCTTCTCCCTTCCATGTGCCACCACCTTCCTCAATTGAAGCTTGATGAAGCTTGAGCCAGCTGGGAACACAATACACCAACCCCGTTGGAGCTTGGACATGTCAGGCATCAACCGTCCTTCAGACCTTCACCTCAAACCTTCTCCTCCCAGCTACACCTGAGTCACCATCGCCTCTTCACACCGAGTCATTGGTGCCCTCCGCGGCTCGGGCCTCCACGAACCTGTGCATCACGGCACCCAGTGGCTACGTCTGGGGCCCTCCGCCCCTCAGATCCGCAGCGAGAAGGGCCTTCGTGGAAGCAATAGGGGTTGAACAAGTTCAAAACAAGACAGGGAGACCAACAACAAATCATAATGACAAATCCTTCAACACGGGGATTCCGTTTTTTCTCCTGAGATCTCCTGAGTTGTTCTGCCAAAGAGTAGCCCATTCTCAAGGCTTGCGGTTGGGTCCTGTCATTTGCAAAGGTAGGGGACCACGCACTTATGAGTCGCCATGTTAATATCACGTCATTTTGCTCGGAATGCTTGGTACATACTTACATTCTCGGAGGTAATTGTATATATAATCTTCGGAGAATGGCTTGTTGAGACGCATGCCAGAGGTCAACCCCATCAAACCGTGTTGTGAACACGGTGGAGTTTGGACGAAGGGGGCATATAGTGACCCCATAAGCAATAGAACAACAAGGTTCATGAAAAAGCCATGCACATAAAATGGGGACCATTGTGCACGGAGACTAGCAGACAAGAGTAATACGGAGTGCTGGACGAGGCCGGCCAGACTGCCAGCGCCCCAGGCTCAGCTCGAGTCTTCTGTCCCGGAACTGCTGGGCGATGGCATCTCCGCAAGCACCGCACTGCAACGAGACCTTGAATTTGTGGATGGCTTGTCCAATGCGCAAGTATAAGTAGGTACTCACGTCACACTGCCAGGTGTTAGATGTGTGGCATGTGTCACATGCCCCACGTCCATTTCAAGCCTTCCTAAGGACATGTCGAATGTATCACTGGGAGCTCAATCTCCCAACTTGAGCTGCAGTGGGCTTTTGCGTGGTCATGGCAGATGTTGATGGGCCAAGACCCGGCCCACCTGCAAAGGACTATTTGGTTTGGTGGATCAGGTGATTATTTTTTCTCCCTATGGGTGAATTCTCTTCCGGTGAATATATTACTTTTATTTGTCCCGGATCCTTAATCAAATCTTGGTTTGGCAGATCAGGTGATGGGTGAATTCTCGTCTGGTGAGTATGCTTTATTTGTGCCGGATCCTCAAGTAAATCCATGTAAATCCATGACAATGACTAGGAAAGTGTGGAACACTGACAAAGGCACAAGCTCCCTCATTTGGTCGGCCTGTTTTGATGATCTAGTGGATGAACAGATGCTTTGTCCGATGTCCGGTTTTCCTCTTGTTGGTTCATGCACCGAATGCATCGAAGGTTTGTAATTATATCTCACTTCACGGTTGTTTTCATCCATCAAGGCATCCTCAGCTCAAAGCACCGCAGATGCCCAACATGCCCGTGGCCCCACGGCTCCGGAATTCACGATGCCCGTGGCTCCTTGCCCTGCTTGCTTCGGCGCTTGTGGCTTCCAGAAGCGGCAACGTGCCACCGGTGTGGTGGCAACGTGGATGGCCAAGGAAACGCGTTGACAGCGTGGCCGAGGCGGAGTTGTTGTCGCATTTGGCAGTGCTGTTGATGCCGAAGACGCCCATTGAGGAGCTTTTCCGGAGCTTTCCATCACCGAAAGGTTGGAGCGGGCATTATTTGGAGCCAGATTTGACCGCCTATGGAGTGTTGAGGGATGAGACTGCGGCCTTGTTTGTGGAATATGACGGGTATTGGCGGCATGGGGAAAGGGAAGGCAAACTCAGAGACCGGAGCAAAACGGAAGCGCTCCTAGAGTATGGACCTCCAGGGTCATGCGTTGTTCGGATCACGCACACCAACAGCAGCAGGCAGCTTAAAGACCAGCTTCTTAGGATAGGGGTGAGTGGTTGGCATTCCAAAAATCGGGGATCGCTTAAAAAGACCCTAGCAGAAGTCTTGAAAAAGATAGTGCTGGGGCTTGAACGGGTTCTACCCCGTCAAGTGGCAAGTTGTTTGCGTGTTGAAGCCGGAAGCAGTTCAATGAGAGGCTCAGCAAGGGCAAATGCATTCATTCAACAGGCTGTAGCTTTGAGGGGTGGGAACACAACAGAGGAGGTGGAAGACTACTTGAAAACCAACGGCTTCAGCACACGAGCGATTCAACTTCTGGATTCGCGTGCGCCATTGAGTGGAACTTCCATCGGTGGCACACTGCAACCAACTATACAATGGCTTGTGGACATGGGGCTCAGTAAGGCTCAAGTGGCGAAGGTAATAGCAACTTCTCCTCCAATACTGGGCTACAGCATTGAGCAAAATCTTAAGCCGACAGTTCAGTGGCT